TTTCTTCTTGTAGCACAAAAAGTCTTAAAAATAATTATATTTATTTAATTACTAACCTCCCGATGATCTTAATTCTTCATTATCTATCTTTTTAGATTCTTCATTTTGTTCAATAGATATAATTTACAATCATTTCAGATTATAAACATAAATAATAAGTTATTATCATAATGAGTTTGGGTTATATATATTTTATATAAAATTATAGTAATTTTAGGTTTTAGTTCATTAAAATTTTCTTATATCCATCAGTGTTTAATGTTTAAAAAATATAATAAAATATGCTTCAGATTCGTGGAAAAAAATATTACTAGGAGATCGGGTATTGTTATCACAGGCAGATAATTTTTATCAAATAATTTTAAACCTAATAAACTTTGATATCTGAAATTTAAATTATAAATATATTTTAATATTACGCCTCAATGGTTCTAAAAATGTCTTGCAAAAATATTCATAAAAAGTTTTAAATGCATTTAACATGTCAAAAGTAACTTTTAAATTTTACATTTTTACAAATAAATTTTTCCATAAAAGTTACTCAGACTAGGTATCAATCCTAAATGATAAAATATATTCTCACTTTTATCATGTATAAAAATATTGACAATATTTATGGTAATTTATTATCTTGATAGGATAAATATAAAGACCTGGGACTGGTTTTGGAGTGCGTATAAATTTTAAGCAAATTAATTTAATCCCATAAAATAAAAAAAATTCCAGAAGAGCAAAACACCCGCCTAGTGTTGTTAATTTGCTTTGTCTTACCCCGTGGTTTATACTTATGGTTTAGACACGGGTTCTGATAAACGAAAACTAAGAAAAAATAAATCTCATTTACTAATTTTAAATTAAATCTTATTATACATTCTAATTATAAAGATTCTCATTTTCTTGGGGTGCTTTTGATTGGAATTTTGACCTATCCATTTTTTTCTCTTCCAGACTATGTTAAATTGATTTATATATATATTAGTTTCTATATTATATAGTTAACAACCCTCTTCAAAACTTTTGTGGGGTTTATAGGATTACAATACAACTTAAAAAAAATTTCTTAGTTATAATATCGAGAATTAATTATTTCTTGAACATATTATTTTTTAAAATTTGCCATAACATAATTATACTTAACACTCAGCATATATTTTTTTTATATTTTTGAATTATTAATTATTATTTTTCAGTGTTGTGATGATTTAATAAACATGTTGATTAAATTAAAAATAAAACCGATTGAGATAAAAATATATTGTTTGTAAAAATAATTAAAATAACACATTTACTTTTAAAAACTTGAAGTTGAAAGAAAATGTTGAGAAAAACGTTATTTTAAAAACTTCCTATAATTTAACTTTAATTAAAATTAATTCTTTTTAAGTTTTACCACTATTTTAATTTAAATTTCTTTAAACCAAATAGCCGTTAAAAAATCGGCTAGACCAAGTTTTTAGCCTAAAATCACTCTGGCTTCGGAGTCTTTCTTAGAAAAATAGAGGCTCAAATTTTCAAGAAATTAATATAAATTAAAACGCCTTAAAGTTAACGGATTTTCTTCGGCAAGCGCCTGAAGATTGAGTCAAGTAAACCTTTATTTAGCCATAATCCAATTATAGCAATTACACAAACTATATAAAAAGTGTAAATTGATTTTATATATTTTGACTTCAGAATAGGCAGGAGAAAAAGATGCTTTTTTATAAACCCCCCCCCCCTAAATAAAAACGAATCCAAAAGTATTCTAAATATCCCATTCAAGCTCCATCTTGTCGAATTTAGGAACTAATGCTATCAAATGTACTTGTCCAAGATACATTTCTAAAATTATTTAAAAAATCAATACTAAAAAATAGCGATGAAATCAAACAAATCGGGCTAGAAAGTTCGCACCTAATTCTGAACTAGGATGGGGCATAGCGATACTAATTTATTAAGCCTGAGAATTAGGGTTAGGGTTAACCACGTTTTAAGAATATTTCCATGGCCCATCGACCGGTCTGTTGTTTTGAATCCTTTTTTTAATACTGGAAATTATTTTAAAACTCAAAGAAAAATGATTTATATATTGATTTAAAAATTTTTTAAAAAAGAAAATAATTTCTAATATTAAATTATAGGAAAATTTAAATTGTTACTAGATATTTAAAATTCAGATGTGTTATTTAGCTGAACCCCGGGTCTAAACCGCGGATCTGAACTCCGGGTCTGTGGTCGGGGTTCGTGCTCAGAGCTGGTTTAGTCGATTTTTAGACCCCGGGTCTGGGTTTTACATAACCAACCAATTAATAACATTACACCCGCCATTAGGCCTATTCAAAAAAGATTCGAATAGAATAATGACGAATACGAATAATAAATTGTCTCAATAAGAATAATCATTTATATTCGAATAAAACGAATTATTCGGAATGTTTAATCAATTGTTTTTAATAAAATCTAACATTTGTCATTTCTAATTGATAACTTCCAATCTGACAGGTAATGTGATTATAGAAAGATTAGCACAGATTTAAAATTTTCTGGAGTGGAAATTGGAGGAATATTTGAACTTTTTATTTACCCGTATTTTTTGAATCTCATGACAAGTCAATATCAATTTTATGACAAATTATGTTAAAAAATTACACAAACCAAAGTAATATATTAAAATATAATACATTTTCACAATAAATTTTTGTTAGCTACCTTAATTATGAAGAGAATAATTCTGGTGAAATAATTATGCTTGATCTTAAAGTTCACAAAATTTCCACAAAAAATAGCGATTATATACGATCAATACAGACAGAAAAGGCTGCTTGATTGCAAGAGCATTATAAAATTTAAAAGCAAAACATCATTCCAACTTATTAATAATTACAATAGGTTCCATTCACACCTCAGATATGAGTTGTCTTGTAGTAAAATTGTTTAAAGCCTAAGTCATCAATTTCTTTATTTAACAAAAATTAATTTAAATAATACACCTTTATAAACTGTTATTACTAAAGATTTTATAAATGATGTTGATTGTTCTGTAAAATCAATATGCTCTAACGCTCTTAAATTGCATATATACATTTGCAGAAAAAGAACAGTTGATAACAGAAATAATACCCAAAAATAAAAGTCAGATTAATTTTTCATCTGATATCTGGACCAACCCAACACAGGTTCCTTTTCTAGAGCTAACAGCCCATTTTATTGATAATAACATAATTTTGAATGTTCTTTCGATAAGTGAAACAATTAAATTAATAAAAATTTTAATTTTGTTTATAACTTGATCACTTATTTTTTATCATCAGAAAATAATCTTTTATGTTAAAAATTAAATTTGCAATAAAAAATTATTTTATTTCGAAAATTTCAATTATTCGAATCGAATACGAATAGTAGATTTAATACTCGTACGAATACGATAAATCGAATATGAATAATGTACTATTCGATTCGAATTGGTTTTTGATTATGCCTATGCCATATACCCTCTCCATACTTATCCCTTTGAGGTCATTCCCATTAATAATTGATTAGTACACCCCCCCCCGTCCTAGTGTTAGTTAGAGGACCCTGACAAATATTGAATTAATTGACAAAATGCCATATATATAAGCAAAATAAAAATATATTTCAGATTGTTTTAATATAAAAGAGTTGGAATTAAAAATAAATTTCATTAATTTGTTTTTATAAAAAATATTGAAAAACTAAATTTATTAAAATTATAAACCTTTGTAATTAAAAATAATATTCAACTTCAAAATATACATAAAAAATTTTATATCCCTTTATAGCTATTTAATTTGAAAATTATAATTTATTTTTTAGAAAATTAATTAAGTGAGGTCTATTCTATAACTAAAGAAATAGGGGAGGGGGGGTTAGCTTTTTTTCCTTAGCAAATCTACAGTTTTCGTAACTACCATTTCAAGCTAATAAAAATTTTACCTTTCCCCCTCTTCCGGAAAAATAACCATACAAAAGTCTTTCCCTCTAGTTGTGCAAAATCGCTCCATTTGAGCCCATTTTCTGTGACTAAGCCTTGAGATTTCGCTAATGATGTTTCAAACCTTAGTTCAATCTAAGAGCACAATCTTCAAACTTAAGTAATATTTTTCTGGGTAAAATAATGAATTATCCGTTTTTAAAAATGGAGCGATTTTGCATTACTATTTCCCTCCATTTTACAATAATCCTGGATATTTATGCCTATAAATAATGTTCTTAAATCTGAATAGCTTTATATTCTGTTTATGATATAATCTAAAATGTGAATAGATTTATGTTTTAAAAAAATCGAGCTAGGACACATAGTTTCCAATATTTTTTAGAAAAACTAAAGTTTCACTTGACATGTTATTCTTTAAAAAATTTAAAGGTCGAGTATGGTGGTTTTAAACAAAGTTGACTATAGCCCCAGGGTTATCTTTACCCAGTCCCCCCCCCCTATCTACAACATAAGTAAATAAGCATTTAAGATCATTTTAAAGAAACTTTAAACATATTAAGCTTAATGGGTTAAATTAATATCATTTCCTAATTATAATTATAACTAGAATTCAAATTTAGGCTCATTGATTCAATTTATATAATATTTACTCGAATTAGGTCTAGAAAATTCGCACCCTAAAACAATAAGTATAGTTATTAGCTACTTTAGAAAAAAATTTGTATACGATATAGAAGACCCTATTCAAAAACGAAATAGATAAAATCGACACAAGTAAAAAAAAAATAGTTTTTTAATTCAATTAAATGATCAGCCATTTATTCCAACCGAATAATTTTTATTCACATTCGAATATTGATTCGATGTATTCGAAACGTCAAATATAATTATTAGAAACGAAACGAATTGAATATGAAATTCGATGAATGAAAATAAGAAGGAAAAGAACTATTGAAAATTATAACTCATTTAGAACTTTTCTTAGTTTTTACTTAGAATTATATGTATTTTTATTGTAAATATTATATAAAAATAATTTAAGATAAAGATATTTATAAAAGTTTACTTTGAACGTAGAAATTATGGGAAGAATATTGTATTCACTAATAGCAGATTTATTTACAAGCAAGACATACATTACAGTGGAGGTTATATAATATTATTTTTTCAAATTTTAATATATTCTAAATAAAAATTCATATAATCAAAATACAAGTTTAATTAAACTTTTAAAAATAACCGTAAATTATATTTTGCTTAAATCATGAGTAAAATATAATTTTTTTTAATTAACAATGTTATTTACTCCATCAATCCTTCTGTTTCAAACAAGAAAGAACCATGTTTTCTTAAATAAAATTATAAAAAGGGAATATTAAAAAATAAAATATATCTATATCATATTCAATAAAATAAATAGATTTATATAAAAATATTTATTATTATTAAATTTTTATTTTTTGTACAAACAAATTTATAAAGTAAACGATAAAGCCATTCATTCATTTATTATCTACCACTCCAAAATGAATTTTCGTTATTTACATTTATAAACCAATTATATATAATTAATCAAAAGAAATAACCAAACTTCAAATATAATAAAAAAAACAATAAAATATTGGAAAAAAACAAACAAATAATTGATCAAATTATTTTTCCTAATAATATTTCGGACACGGACATAATATTAAAAAAAAGATTATTATCTTATCAATTTATTTTGCCAATTTATACAAATCATAAAAGTCGAGCAGGATGGATAATTATGATTTCTTTTTCTAAAAAAAAAAGCATTTTACATACCAAGTGGATAAAAAAAATATATATTTTCTAAAGCATGTTATTGATTAAAAATTAACACTCAAAAATAAAAATAAATATTTCTCCCAAATGAAAAGAAAAACACGCAAAATATATAAATTGGCTTCTCTTGAAGCAAAGGAAGTTTTTTTGGCCAATTTAATAAAATAATATATTTTTTAAAGTCTCTGTACAATATAAAATTTAATTTTTTTAAAAAAAAATTAACAGAACTTTTTCTCAGAGGATATATATATTTTTATACTATTATTATTGATTATTATTATTGGCTTAAACAATGCAATTATTTTAGTTCAGGATTAGTAATATATAAGAGTTATTTATTCTGTACTGTTATTTCGATCTTATATACTAGTAGTATTATACTACATTTTAGTAATGTAAATGAATGCACTCTTTAAAAAACAGTGTAAAATTAAGAGACAACCCGCTAATAAAATCTAATATTAGTTAATTCATCGTAACAATCATTAAGACTTTCGAAGAAAAATAAAGTTATTATTTTCATGATTATATATTAAGTTTAGAAAAATAAATTCTTCGAATTGGCAGATAATCAATCAGAATTGAATAAATTAAGACCTTATGATCTTTATGTGGGCATTGATATTTGGAAGTGGCAAAAACAAAAATTTATCACTTTTAAATTGACTAAATGTTGGATTTAAATTTTATTTTCTTAACAAGCACATTTTCATAATTTCCTTGAGCGCCTATAATTTTCACTGCTTAAATAAAGAAACGGATTTTACTTTAAGGCTTTGTTTATATTTTTTTTACAGGATTATATATAATCTATATTTCCAAGAATAGTAGCTGAACCTAAAGATAAAAACAGGTAGGGTTGGTTGACAAAAATTTCAATAATAATTTCAGACCCTAGTGCCACGTATGGTTTTAAATTATCCTCTTACCCAGAGATGCAAAATCGCTTCTGAGCCGATTTTTCAGTATTTTAACCAGAAAATGTTGACTAAGCTTCGAGATTTTGTTGTTAAATCTTTGTGCCATCTATGAGAAAAATCTTCAGGCTTGTATAATATTTATCTTGATAATACTGAGTTAGCTGTTTTTAAAAATCGGCTCAATTGAAGCGATTTCGAATCACTACTTCTACCTACTGATACTTTCCACAAGTGGTAACCCTGCTTGATTAACTATACCATTTTTATCATAAAAAAATATTCCTATAAAATTTTACCATTTTTTGAACACAAATTTACTATTAGAGGTCATCCCTGGATCATTTCTAAAACGTTGCGTTTAATATGCAAAAAGTTATTGTAGGGATTTTAAGGATAGAGTTAGAAAAAATTAAAGATATTTATTTAAGTGGTGGTAAATAATGATCTTTATCACAATTTATCAGTGTATATATATATCTTTCAGTAAAAGTTATTGCATATAAAAAACATTTGAATTTTATTTCAACAAGAAAATAAATTAACAATTACAATTATCGATACTTTAAATATTAGATTTGTAGCCGGAAAACAATATACAAACAAATAATATTATATTATAAATAAAAGACCATAAAAATATATATTAACTAGCTAATAACCCGTCAAGAATGATGGGGTTGAGGGGTAATTAGTTAGTTTGTGTTATGCTTTATATTAAAATTTAGGAGAAAAAGAGATAAAATTGTTGCAATGTAACCCGTGAGCATTAAGGGTATTAGAAATGTCAAAATTTAAATTTGTGATAGGAATCATATTGGGTAAAATTAAAAATAGAGATGCTTCAAAATTTTTGAATTTTAAATATGGGCTAGATTGGTCTCAAAATTTTGTTTTGCAGACACAGCTAGGCCTGATCAAAAAACCACTTCCCATGCAACTTTCCCAAAATTTTGCCATTTATTTCTATTGTAATTTAATAAAAATGTCTTAAATTTAATTTTATATAAAATTTAAATTTATGATAAAAATCATATTGAAAATTTAAAATCGAGATGATTGGAAATTTTTTAATTTTAAATATGGGGTAGATATTGGCCTGAAATTTTTTTTGCAGACATATCCAGGTCTGATCAAAAAACCAAGTCCCATGCAACTTTCATAAAATTTTGCCATTTATTTCCATTGTAATTTAATAACAATGTCTTAAATTTAATTTTATATTCCATTTATTTCTATTGTAATTTAATAACAATATCTTAAATTTAATTTTATATTTAAAATAAAATTTAAATTTGTGATAGAAATCATATTGGGTAAAATTTAAAATAGATATGCTTGAAAATTTTTTAATTTTAAATATGGGCCAGACATTGGCCTGAAATATTTTTTTTCAAACCTGGCCAACCCATAATAATTTTGTAATTTTTTCCCAATGGAGATAGGTAAATCTCTGAAAACCATATTGTTTGGAAAATTTTCTCAAGCCCGCCAAAGACCATAATAATTTTGTTAGTTAAGAACTGAAATAAAATATATATCATAATTCATTTAAAAATAAAATCAGAATATGAAAGTTGCATGGGCTTGGTTTTTTAATCAGGCCTGGCGATCTCTGTAAAAAAAATTTTCAGGCCAATGTCTAGCTCATATTTAAAATTAAAAAATTTTCAGGCATTTCTATTTTATATTTTACCCAATATGATTTTCATCACAAATTTAAATTTTATTCTAAATATAAAATTAAATTTAAGACATTTTTATTAAATTACAATAAAAATAAATGGCAAAATTTTATGAAAGTTGCATAGGATTTGGTTTTTTGATCAGGCTTGGCCATGTCAGCAAAAAAGAAATTTCAGACCAATGTATAACCCATATTTAAAATTCAAAAATCTTAAAGCTTCTCTATTTTAAATTTTATCCAATATGATTTCCACCACAAATTTAAATTTTGATATTTTTAATACATGCTCACGGTATACATTGCAACAATTTTACCTCTTTTTCTCCTAAATTTTAATATTTATATAAAATTTATTAATAAAGTATATTTAGTACCATACACACAAACTAAATAATTACCCTTCAACCCCGTCAGCTAGTATTGTAATAAACGGCAAAATTTTTAAAATATCAGCTATTAATTAATATATATATAATTAATATTTTAAATTTAATTATATTCAAGTTGGTGCATGCTTAAAACATACGCCTTTGAAACGGGGAGTAAAAAATAACATTACACTATATATAGTCTCCTTAAATTTTAAATACATTAGGAAGGTATGAAAACGATCATGTTTTGATTATGGAGATTATATATATTAGATACAGTTATTTTTTAATTTCATCATTTAGAATAGGGAATTTATATTTCTATCGTTTGGTATAAATATAACATTTATAAATGTATTAAAATATATATCAATTATCTCAATACAATATTATATTAAAAACTAAATAAGCAAAGTGATTCTTAATTATTAATAAATTCAAATAACATGGTTATTTTGTTATGATATTTTATGATAAGTAATTTAAAATGTTCGAATTTTAGAATAACGCAAAGACAAGCTGCTTCTGAAAAGTTCCTAAAATTTTAACCCAGCATTTAAAAAACTGCGTCAATTTGTTGTCTTATATTTTAACAATGCAGATTTTTTAAAGCATTTGAATATACTATTAATGTTTTTTATAAAATTAAAATAAAGCATTATAAGCACCAATAATATAATATATATGAGATTATTATCAATTTTCAGTGGGATCCATGTGATATTTATTTTCACTTAAAATAATTTTCCGATTAATAAGAATTATTAATAATAGGCATGTGCGTCGCCTGTCAAATACACCGCCTATGTAAAAATTCGGCGGCGTGGAGGCTTGATACATATTTTTTATTATTAAAAATAATATTTATTTTATATATTATTATAGGCCAACACGCTACCTCTCTGTTGCCTTACACGGACCAATTAACCGAATGTGAAACGACGAGAGTTTCTTCAGAATTCGATTATCTTAAGTCATTGGCTACCAAATATTCATCTATTCATAAAAATAATCTGGAACAACAAGAGTATTTAACTAGTCTAGAAAAAGAGTGTTTATCATTTTTTTCGCCTTATAATTTAGAGATAAAAGATGTCTTAGATTTTTGGAAGATAAGAGCATTGAATCCTCCTAAACTTTCAATATCAGCTAAAAAAGGTCCTGTGCGTTCCAGCTACGAGCACATCCAGCGAGCGTGTATTTTCCATAGCTGGGCTCACTCTGAACTCTAAAAGATCATCATTATGTCTTATAAATCTAAATAAAATAATATTTATACATGATAATTATAACTTAATAAAATCCTTAAATAATAATTATAATTATAAGCACAAAGCATAAATTTTATTTTAAAAGT